AGTTACCTGTAACTTTATGAGTAAAGTCCATAGGAATCTCTTTACTCGGTAAGCATAAATAATTGTAATCCCATTGTTGTGTAATGATCCTCCGTGCTTCTTCGTCCAATTTCACACAGTTACGGTAGTTGAGACTTGCACACGGATCATGGAAAGAGTGAAATACGCTCTTGAGCGATCTACAGTCAGTTGCATCAAGACACCAGAGCGAAGGAGGAAGACCCTGAAGTGACACAAGTTTTCTACAGTTTTGGATGATAAGACTTTGTAGCCAAGGAAGACCAATGACACAATCTGGAATCATCTTTATATCACTGTTTCTTAGGTCTAGCTTCCTTATACTATAGGGGATATGACTTAATCTTTTGAGGTTTCTGCTGCCTATATGAAGCCACGTAAGACGAGACCAACGCCTGTCAATTGATGGAGGAACTTCTTTAATCTTTGTGTTTCTTACATCAAGATGCTTGATGTTCCTAGAAATATCTGGAAAGATTCTCAATTCTGGGCAATTACTCATGTCGACCTCCTCTAGAGATGCTAAGTTGATGTTTGTAGGAATAACTTGTAGCTTTTTGCAACCCTTCATTATCAGCTTTAACAGATTATGTAGATTCAAAACAGAGGAGGGAAGCACCACCAAACTTTTGCAGTATACAAGTCTCAATATCTCGAGATTAGAAGCTTTCGAAAGATTTGGGATGACTTTCAACTCTAAGGAATAGCTCAAATCTACTTTTTTGAGATTTACAAGGGGCTACACCACAAATGAAAAATTATCCTATTTTAGTCGTATCACTAGAAACATATAAATAAAATATAATATTGAATACCAACCTGGATTCCTCCCCATAGCTCCTCGAGCTTGCTGAATTGCATATGGATCTCGACAAGATATTCTGGCCAGAATGTTGGAGGAAGACGTTTTCCTGGGTATGAATTCCAATCTAGTAGCCTTAGATGGGGTAGATATTCCATGTCATCTAACAAGCTAACTTTTCCATGGGAGCAGCCGCGCCTGCTTACGTAAAATCTTAAGAATTGGAGATTACGCATTCTTTCAAAGGCTCGCCTATCTATAGAGAACTCATTGATCATGGACATATTAAATGATATACCGATGATAGATCCAGTACCCTGCCAAATATTACAAAAACATACTTATAAAACTGTCATCAGAATATGCAACAACTCAACATACTATTTACGTAAGAACTTACTGTTTCATTTGTTAATACATCACGAATCTCTCGGGGCTCTACTAAAAACTGACGTAGTCCAGGTTCGTGAGACTGTTCAATAACTATTTGTCTACCCAACTTTTGTAGTAAGCAGTGCATCACTAGCCGTCCATCAGTAGATATTCGCACGAAAGATTTATCAACTAGGGTCTTCAATCCCTTTCCGACATTCAAGTGACTGTTAACGAGTAAGGTTGTCACGTGATTAACATCCTCATTGTGGAAAAAGCATGCAATGTGTAGAAAGAGAATTTGATCTGTCTTTAACAATTTATCATATCCCACTCTTAATGCATCTTCAACTTTTTTCTCAAGACTGGTTTCAAGACTATGTAATTGAAGTTCCCACTCCTCCTTGCTCTCTCCACGTAAAGACGAACCAACAACACAGAGACCTAACGGAAGATAACCGCAAAACTCTGCTACTTTATATGCAAGCTTTTCAAAACCTTCCCGTGGGAAACTTTGTTTGAAAGCAGATAGACATAAGATCTCAAGAGCTTCTTCTTCAGATGGAAAATCCACATGGTAGACATCTTCGATCCCGTGTGCCTTCAAAATCTTTTTATCTTTTGTGGTAATGATGATTCGACTTCCAGGACCAAACCAACAAGGTTCTTCAGCCAAGGTCACTAGTTGCTCTAGATCACCAACATCGTCAAGAACTATAAGCACTCTTTGATCTTGTAGCCATTCTTTTACCGCACCTAAGTGATGTATCTTCATGTCCTTTTGTTTCAAAATTTTGGACAAAAGTTGGTTTTGTAAACTCAACTTCGAATCATAGTCATCCACCCGAATGCCCCTATAATTTCCTTCGAGGTTCGTCATAAAACATGCAAGTCTAAAATCAGTTGAGAGTCGGTTGTATAAAGCTCTAGCAATGGTAGTCTTACCGATTCCCGCGGGACCCCAAATCCCAATCATCTTCGCCTCATCACACTCTATGCATAACAAAGAGTAAAGTTTTCTCAGGTGACCTTCCAGTCCTACCAACTTGTCAAAATCCCTGGACGGTGTGACATTCAGTTTGTTGGAAACATCTGTGGCAATCTTCTGGATCATCTTAGCCTCATCATACCTAAGAAAAATAAAATCTTGTTGGTGAGACTAAGTTATTTCTACGTTAAGTTGATCAATTCAGTTGTTCCAAAAAACAAACAAAATCATGTAATGAACAAAAAAAAAATAAAAAAAAAAAAAAAAAAAATCTGTTGGTGGGTCTAATATTAGCAAAAATTTACCATAGAAGCAATGACTAAGAAGGATAGAAGCAGTCTAAGATAATGAACCAAAAGAAACTACAAACCAATTTAGAGAATGTTCCCCTTCTATGTTTGCAACAACAGTCAAAGCTTTACTCCATCTCCGCTTCTCGTCCTCCGTCTTACTTTCACAAGTTTTCTTGAATGCGCTTCCAAAATCACCAATCTGTTTCCGTACATCAGACGGATTAACACCATAGAAAATTGTCATCACCGTCTGCCCCTGATCTTCTTTGCACTTTAAAATTTCTACCAACTCGTCTAAACACCAGCTTGAAGAAGCATAATTCTTGGAGAGCACCACGATCGAGACTCTTGATTCTCTAATCGCTTGTATGAGTTCAAGTCCAATCGTATGGCCTCTCTCCATATCCTGATCATTGAATGTTTTGATTCCTTTTCTTGCAAATTCATTGTGTAAATGACTGAGAAATCCTCTACGAACATCTGACCCATGGAAGCTTGGAAAGACATGGTATCTCCTTATCTGCAGCAGAGAAGAAGATGAAGAAGCACTCATGAGAGATAGGGTAATTATAAGTTCAAGTGTTATTAGAGAGCGGCAATGATTTTGGGAAAAGCAATCTATGGAGGAGAAAACTTTCTCATTGGTAATAGAATTAAGACTTTATAATTGATGCAAAAGCATATAGACTTTAATAAGAGGATGAACTTCAATAGATGTTAAATTTTAATTGGTAAGATGACAAGCACTGAGTAGAAAACTTCCTCATAGCCGTCTCAGATAAAGCATGAAGTAGTCTTTGTAGATGACAACGAAGTCACCATTTAAAATGGAGGGAAGAAAAGATCTTTGTTTTTTCCTCTCTTCTTGGAAAAAACAATATGGTGGAATTCACGAAATGGTCACTGGTAGTTAGTATATAAAAACTATATACAGTATCTTGAAAATGGTATTTCTATCTAATTGCAAACTAATGGAATCAATTGACTTGTTTTTTTTCTTTCAATTTACTTAGTAAAACAAATAATTAACTAACCATCCTAATTGTCAAAGAGAGATAGTACAAACCTTGATGATTGTTGGTTTCCCTAAGCCCTCCTGATTCTTCTTCATCACAATCTACACAGCAAGTTAATGAATTATATCAAGAGATATATGGTTGGTGATTTTTGAAAGCAGTGAACAAGCCTTGAAACTAGAAATGCAGAAAAGAAAAGCTCACCAGCCACGTTTATCGTTAAAGAGTTTCTGTATTATTACTCTACTTGCTTCTTTCTCTAGTCTCACACAACTGTAGACATGCATGGAGTGTTGCTTACGGACTCTCTGTAGAGAAAATAGTATCATTTCATAATATGATCCGCATTTGTTTTTTCGTGAAGACATAAATAGAAGGGAAAATGTGACTATACTAGAGAATATTTAAAGGGAGAGGTTATTTTATATGAGGTCAAACGATCACAAAGATGGCAAGGAAGCTAGGGAATGACATACCTCCTTTCAGGGGGGGGTCAGCTATAACCACTGATCCTCAGACTTGTTTGGCATCATGAGATTACATTCGTTAGTCGTATTCATCTTTGTATTTTTTCTTCCCCAGAGCAACTTTCCTAAACCAACTCCAGTGACCTGTATGTTCACTGGTTGGTCTCAAATGAAAATTGACAGCAAGCATCGCTTAAGAGATATAAAAGCGGTTGTAATTTAATGAGCCCAAAAAGAAGTTCATACCAGTTAAGAGAGTGTTCCCCAGCAATGGTTGCAACATGTGCCAAAGTCTCAGCTTCATCTCCTCAGTTTTCCCTTTCTCGAATGCGTTTCCAAAGTCTCCGCTCTGTTTCCGAACATCAGACGGATCAACTTCATAAAAAATCGTCACCCTGATCTTCTTTACATTTTAAGATCTCAACCAATTCATCCAGACACCAGCTGGAGGAAGCGTACTTCTTCGAGAGCACCACTACCGAGACTCTAGATTCTCTAATCGCTTGTACAAGCTCTTTATCTCTTGATCCTTGAACGTCGTGATTCCCTTGCTTGTAAAGTGTTTGTGTAAATGACTGAGAAACCCTCTACGGACGTCTGGGCCGTGTAAGCTCGGAAATACATGGTATCTCCTAATCATGATAGATTGATAGGTATGGTAAAAGAGAGATTATAGTAGAAGGTATCACAATGGTTATGGATAAGCTATCAGTAACAACAGTGAAGGAAGAAACAAGTGCAAGATACAATCCCAATCCAATTGCAAAGCTAAACCGGAGTTTTAAACTCGATTAAAAGCAGCAGATGGGAAAATGATGTTTTTATTCGGCCTGAAACTTCATAAACGGGTCGAGTCAAGAGAATCAGTTTTCCCGTTCGGTTTTGTTCAAAATTCGGTTCCATGAGAACCAGCTAAATTTGAAACAATTTCGGTTTACGTTCGGTGGTATGAAAGCGCACACTAAAAACTAGATTAAAGCTCACTTGGTCAACTGTAACTTGCAAATCACACGTTGTTTCTTAACAAACTATTTTTTTTTTTTTGCTAAATAGTAAATATCATTAATGAAAATAAGGAAATACAACGTTGTAGAGCCTACAGAAATGGACCTTGTCAAAAAAGAGAAAAAAACCAAGGCACAAATAAGGAGCGTGAAAGGAAAGACCAAGAAATCCTTCAGCGAAGCCACAAAGGCATAAGGTTTTTAAATCGCTTCATATGCCCTCGAGCGGTGATGGAGTTGATGATTTGGCGATTTATATCTTTAAAAAGAGTCTGAGGAGGGATCCTTTGGAGATTGTGAATTAAATTATTCCTCTGTCTCCATACTGTGTAAACCAGCGCTTGAACCAGCAGAAGACGAAGCACTTTTGGGGCAGTTTCACTTCGATGCTTCGACCAACGCATCAAACCAGACCAATTTGAAAATGGTTGGTGCAAATAGCCAAGGCGATTGCAGATAAGGTCCCATATCGAAGCTGTGAAAGCACAGTCGATGAAGAGATGATCCCTTATCTCAGGAGAAGCCGAGCACAAGCTGCAGGTAGGGTTGACATGCAATCCCCAAGAGGCCAGCCTAGTAAGAGTTGGAAGCCTGTCAAGGTGCGCAATCCACATGTTGAAAGCGTGTCGCGGAGTTGAGCCCTTGAACCAGACTTGAGAAGCCCAATCCTTGGGAGAATCTCTCGGCCGAACGACGTCCCAAGTCATCTGAGTGCTGAAACCCCCGCAAGGCTTGCCCTCCACATACCAATCAAAACCATCCTCACTGTCCGAAACAGACGGTAGGGGGATGGAAGAGAGATACATATGCAACGAGACCGCTGCATCTGTTCGAGGAGGTGCAAGAATCCAGCCTTGATTGTTGCAAGCTGAAGCAACAGAAGCATTCACCGGAATTCTTTGGCTTCTAGGACCCGAGTCGCCTAGAAGCTTTAGAAGTGGACCCAAAGGTGTCCAATTATCGTACCAAAACCGCGTGTTGGCACCATTCCCAATTTTTGACTTGATAAACCTTTCCGCTAAGTGCCTCAGCTTGAGGAGGCTCTTCCACATCCAAGAATCGGTCGATTTCTTCTTAACAAACTATAAATTACAGAAATGAATTCGTTAGAAATTTCTTCCTTCTTCTACTTCTTCTTCTTCATCAGACCAAGCTTCGTAAGCCATACCCAACAATCCTAAAAGTTTTCAGGTTTGGTTTTGTTCAAACACCCAATTCGGACTCACTTCGGTCGTATATAGCCACTCGCATGTTTTGTTACCCACTCGAGTCAGATTAAAGACTTTGTCCGGTTGCGTGTTAAACGAAAATTCACTACGATTTGGATGAAGTAAAATATAAAAGAAACATCAATGTTATGTAGTAAAATATAAAAGAAACATCAATGTTATGTACATTCCACTCGTGAATTGCTCTTATCTTTTTTCTCTACATTGAAAACACTAATAAGAACACATTCAAAGGACCATTGTTACAACTTACAAGGCTTTGAAGCAGGGAAAGTTTTTTATAATCCCTGAGTAGTTGACGAAGAAGACGCAGCAGCGCGGAAATGCTTGTTCCCATGCTCGGCTGCCAGATGGTCTGAAGCCGGTCTCTTTGGTCTCAACTGCAAATAATAAATATTACAAAAAAAAAAGGAACTGAGATTTAGGATAAAACAATCAAAACCAACAGTTTGGTTATCTGAAGAAGTTTAAGATTTGATCGATATCGTTCTTGTCTGTTTTCCTAAGAAATCCTGTGTTATAAGACTATATGAGGGAAATGATTTGGATAAAAGAATCAAGAACTTAAAGACGAATGAGAGTTGGTTTACCTTCTCTTCAGCTCGTTGATAGAAGCTGCGTATAAGTATGTTTTTCACTTCCGTAGTTATCACTACAACCAAAACAAACAAGGTACACATTAGTAAAGGCGTAGATGTGTGGGAACTCGAGACTATTGTAATCTGATTAACTCCCAGTTGCCTTAGAGATCTAAGAAGTGATTCATGGTAAACAGAGTAGCTAGATCGCTCTATCAAAGCAAGTTCAAATATCAGTCTCTAGCCAAGATCACAACTTCAAAAGGCCAATTTTAGACACTATAAAATGTAAACAAAATTCGAAAATCTTCTAGCCTAAGAACATGCAAAATTTAAAAAAACCGCGATTCTTTGTTTCACCTTGATCTGGTGGTGGAAGTGTACGGTTGTGTGTAGGACGATAAGTTGTAGGAATCATCCTCTGCAAGAAAATATGAACAAAGCTCAAATCTTTAATTTAAAGATCAAAAATCTAATCTTTCGCTCAATCAAAATAAAATAAAAATGAAAAGTTTCATACTAGTAAGTTGATATGAGATAACAAGATCTTGTCATATAACTTAGGAGCTAACTAAGGCCAATTGAATCAAAATTATGATTCTAAGATCATTCAGCAAGACCAAAAATGGCTTTTTTTCTTTTCTTGGTTTCTCACAAGATTAATGAAAAAGAAGAACTTTTGGATCAGATCAAGTAACCAGCAAAACCAAATACACACATTCGAATGTATACTCTTTAAACAATTTGAATATCAAATTTTGATCAACAAAAGATACATATTTTTTTCACAATACGACCAAGTAAAACGAACTCAGATCCGTAGAATTGAATAGTTTGAAGAGTTCTCAGACGAATTCAGACAAAACACAGATCATAGAACAGCTAAGCACTTTCATCTAAGAAGCGAAGAAAAGGAACTAAAAAAAAAAGAAGTCGAAGATGAAAGAGTGAGAATTAGGGGGAAGAAAGAACTAACAGAGGGATTAGAAGGATCAGAGGGACGATGTTGACTGAAATTGTGAGGATCGAAGGAAGGCAAATCTCCAAGAATCGACGCCATTGGAATCGTGGTGTGCGTGATAATGTTTCCTTCTCTTCAGAGTTCAAGACACAGAGATAAAAAGCAGAGAGAAACCAAAAGAAAAAGAAATGGGTTCATGGGCCATTGGGCCTAACTCTAGATGAAACAACTTCGACTTAATGTTTCTCAGCCCGATTATATATTTTGATCAAAAGAATTCTATATAAAATAAAAAAAATTTAGAACGGTTTCAAGGTAAAATTGTCCAAAGAAAAGTGAGTGAAGGCAAAACAAAAGAGTATCTAATGACTATTTATATGTCCAACCAACAAATTTTTTTAGATTTTAAAATAATCGGATTGTTCGTCGAATAAATTTATGAAACCTAAATTTGTGGATGATAACGATCAGAATGATAAGAATCGACAAGCGAATTCGGTTTTGTAAGTATTTCTAAAGTTGTTTTCCCAGCAGTTTTGTTATATATAAATCTCAATTCACCTTCATTGTTACAAATGTTTGAATTGGACCAAATTTCCCAATTTATAAACTTGCATCTTCCTTAAGTGACCACCAAAACTCAAAATATCTATCTTTTGGTTTCTACTCTTTTTTTTTCTTAGAAGAAAGATCGATGAGGAAGAAGAAACAAACACGCTTACACACATGCTGTCTCATCCTCGTATATAATCAGGTCGCATATGCATTGAGATTTAAGTTAGTTTTACATATGTAGCTTTCATTATAGGTCAAGAAAGAAACTTCCACGTACGTGTTTATAATAGAGCAAAAGAGTCTTAATCTTTATTTTGGGAGTCAAATAAGATTCTTAACCACTACAACCATAATAGACATTATTAAGTTGAATTAGTCGTTTATCCGTATTTTGAGCCACGCCATTTCAATTGTATATGAGATACCGTGAAAATAACTATAGACTATAGTTTATGATCACGGGTCATTTAGATTATTTAATCCGAAACGAACGACTAGCCTATGTAACTATTCTTTCCCAACCATTTTAGATATGAGTACACAAATTTATAATTCATTACCAAGTTTACATAAATTTGATTCTAAATTCGATTTGAACATTCCATTTAAGATAAGACTAGTAACCATAAGTTCGATTAACTTTATAGGATTGAATTTTAATTTTAGGTTACTCGTATCTATTGAGGTTATGACCTTACAGTGTAAAATATATGAGGATCATCAGTATGTAGGAACCAAAAAAAAAAAGGTTTACTAAGTTATAGCTAGTAGTGATTTACAAGAAATATATAGTTGAACCAAGTACAATTTTATGTATTTCTTAAACTTTTAATCAACATATCCTTAGGACAATAAACAATACTAATTACTTAAAAATGATTTTATTTTTAAAAATGACCACATGACGACATATATATGTTGTCCCAAGCCAATACAATCCCTGATCATAGTATATATTAATAAGGAAGAAGAAGAAAAGAGATAGGAAAAAAATGAGGGAGATCGATAATAATAAAAGGTTTAGTAACACAAGAAAACTAAATGGAAGTAAAAAGCAGTTGAACAGAAAATTAGGTGAACTTAGTTGGCCTCAATCCCCTTTTACCCTTACTTCTTCTTCTTCTTCTTCTTCTTCTCTCATTCATTACACATCTATAAATGTAGTGTGAGATAAAAAAGAGAAAGAGACTCTTATAACAATGGACGACAGAGAAGAAGACATCAATCCTATGTTAAGCCTAGATGTCGAAAACAACAACACTTTCTCTTCCTTTGTAGACAAAACCCTAATGATGATGATGCCTCCATTAACATTTCCCAGTGAAGTGGTGGCACCTTCATCTTCTTCTACTTCTTGGTATCCAGAAAGCTTGCATGCACCGCAGCCAGCTCCAGAGAATGATCAAATAGGTGATAAAGGGAAGAATAAAGAGAAAGAGAAGAGATCGAGGAGAGTTCCAAGGATTGCTTTTCAAACTAGGAGTGATGATGATGTTCTTGATGATGGTTATCGTTGGCGTAAATACGGCCAGAAGTCTGTCAAGAACAATGCTCATCCCAGGTACTTACACACCACATATTGACATATATATCTATGCTTTGTATAGATTAATTAATTTGTTTATTTATACGTCAATCTAGCTATAATATCATCATGTATGTTAAAGTAGATGCATGATCCAAATACGGAATCGACAGAAAAAAAAAACCTTGGCTATACAAAACTTTAGTTAGCTTAACAACCGGCCAGATCAAGTTTTGTGTTTTACACTAAGCGATAAATATAGAAAGCATAGAAAATGTATCTTTTAGTTGCAAAATTACCATAATTTATAGGTTTATGAATAGCTATCTAAGTTAAACCTAAAATTTGTCAATTTTTTGGAATTATTGTATAGTTAATATGTAAAATATATAATTTAACAAAATGTGTATCATATATGTTATGACTATTAATCTTGTTTCACAAAATGCAGGAGCTATTATAGGTGTACGTACCACACATGCAACGTGAAGAAACAAGTGCAGAGATTGGCAAAAGATCCAAACGTGGTCGTAACAACTTACGAAGGCATTCATAACCATCCTTGTGAGAAGCTCATGGAGACTCTTAACCCTCTCCTCAGGCAACTCCAGTTCCTCTCTAGTTTCTCTAATCTCTGAATATATAACGTACGTGTTAATTAATGGTGTAATTAATTACTTAAAGCTGATTATGGTGTAAATTAATCTCTCCACCCCCCCCCCCCCCCCCCCCCCACATCTCCCAAGAGAATAGAGACATGTCACAAGTGTATAGAACAGATTTGAAACGTCAAATGTTCATGTTATGTTATGTTGCACTAAACTCTTCTCATTCTTTACAACTTCGTTGATCGCTTCTTATAAAAGAGACCATGAAGGAAGAAGTCAGGCGTTTTAGACATATGAGTACTCGAGAGAATTATAGAGTAAGAACAGAAACGTTTTAGAGAGAAAAAGCTTATAGACGAAATCAACGACAACGAGAAGAGCACTTCTTAAACGTTGATAAGTGGTTGCGTCCAATTCCTAACCAATTATATGTCAAATTATTCACTAAACCGGCCAAAATATAGCTTTGGATTTATCGGTTATGCATAATTGTCTTACACAGTCGAACCAAAACAAAATGCATCCAAAACGAATTACAGTAACCCAAAAATAACTTTTAAATGAATGTTCTACATAATTAGATTTTATAAAAAAAATATAATCTAATGTTTTGTCTTTTACTAGTCCAAAAATGGTAGTAACTAGTAAAGATCGACCAAAAAAGATTGAAAACTATTAAGCTTTTTTGCTTTTTGTGAATACAAATAGTAATGATCCTATTGGATATAATATTGATGTCACTTGCTGCAAACTATATTAAGCTTTTGCCTTAAGATCAAATTTGCGAATTTCGGCATTCATGGCAAAAGTTGACATAACTAAGGGTTCTTATTGAGTATTACACCTAGTTGACAGCAATTTTATTTTGATCGTCATTACAAGTTAAACGCCAGCTAAATACAAACTAACCCAGCATAAACAGAACACGACTTGTACACCGGAATCCTTAACTCTGTTCATACCGAGGGAAAATGATAAATTACACTAAAGTTTATTATGTTAGTGTTGTCTTCTAACTCCTAAATACCAACTTCCCTTTGTTCTGCCCTCTCATGTTCTCCGTGATGATGTAGGTCCGGTAGGCCTTGCGAAGTCAGCAGGAGCGGGCTCGGGATGGTTCCGGTTTCCTAAGCCAGCAGGAGCGGGCACGGGATGGTTTCGGTTTCCTACAACTGCCTGGGTTCTATAAGCACCCGTTGAAAAAGGTGACTGAGATTGAGACGTTTGAATAGATGGTGTCTGAAACGGCTGTGAACTGGTAGGCCTAGTAGAAGTTTGAGAATTTTGGGTAGGTCGGATGATCATGTGGTCAAGAGCAGTGGAATGAGAACCTGGCACAAGACTGCCTCGCATTCTTGGGCGCCAGTTGGTTGTATCAGGAACGGTCAAGTCTACATCCATTAGGTCACTGGTTCGAGAAACAGATTGAACATTTGGACCACTTTGGTGCTGCCTTTGAGTGCTTACGTGGTTACTGGTTACACCTCTGATGCCATAACTATTCGGCTGGTTGAGTACTCTAGGGACATGCTGAGACTGAACAGAAGACAACGCATTTGCTGGTGACTGGCTCGTACCTGGAATTGGGACCCTCCGGCTCTGCAAGGAACACATATTTATCAACATATGAATACTCGAGAAAAGAAACCAGTCTCGCAAACGACATCACAAACCTGATATGGAGTTGTCATTGATGACGCTTGATATGGATAAGTCTGGTTCCATCTCGGACTAGAGGTTCTACCAAGATATGTTCCGGTGGGAGTAACAGGTGAAGCATGAACCTGAGAGAATTGCGGAGAGGGCATGGTGCAGACAGTGGAAGTAGTAGCTGGTCTATCTCTTGGAGATGGTGTCTGGGAGAATGGCAAAGGTACCGGCATTGGATCTATGGACATGGGTAATTGGGATAAGTTTGAGTACTGTTGACCCGTTCCAGTATTCAAAGCTTGATGTGGTTGTGGCGCAGTGTTTTCCAAAGCAGATAATATTACCGGGTCAAATGCGATCACATCAGAGAGATCGAATATCGAACAGTTATCATCATTTGAAGCTTCTTTACTTCTGTTATTATTAGATTGACCCAGAGCATTAGACAAACAGGGCTTCTGATCCTCAACCTTGTTGTTACCAAAAACTTCCATTTCAGCATCATCATCCCCTGTTAGATCAAAAACAACTGGACCAGAGTTTAACAAGCTCATTGGGTCTTCTAGATCATGAATGATCTCACGCACAGGTTCCATGATCTCGTCAGTTTTCTTTGCAACCTTCCATGAACCACCAGCATCAATGATTACATCAACAGCATTGTGTCCCACATCTTTTAATATCTAAGATATGATATGAGACGATTTATCAGAATTAAGCTGCAATGCATAGATGTAGCAGTAATCAAATAACGACATACATAGCAACTTGCCTTGACCATGTTTTGATCTAAACGGATCTCAGGGTAGCAAACAGGTTGATTGCAATGTGGGCAGCGCCAGGATGGGTTTCTCATATTTATGTGGACATAGTTTGAGAAATCAAAACACTGCAACAGAAAGTACCACATCACTAACAGATATTAAGAGAAAAATACGGTAACATCCACATTATAAAACAATGTATGCCGATTTATAAAGATGGAAAAGCAGAGAATATTGCATGATATTTTCTTTGCATCACCTGAAGATGTTTACACAACTGGCCCTTGACTGGAAGCTTGATCCGCCTGCGACTGTTTTATTAAAAACTTAATCACTGACCAAAAATAACCATAACATAACACAGTAGTACGTTAAAAGTAGAAGTGGTACCTTATAGGACAAGTGAGAGATACTCGTGATGGCCCCTCAATGATGTCTGAATCTATAGACAGGTAAGAAAGTACAGAGCGGTTAGTTTGGAAAAATATTTCTTACACTTATGTGGTTGCAAGTCATGGGAGGATTCAAAAATGGAATAGTACAGAGCAATAAAGAAAAATTCTCCTCTCTCCTATTTTATGCTCTTGAATTACCTGGACTTGATTCAATGACTCCGGACTGAAGGTAATCTTTAAGAACAGGTTGTTCAGGTGGCACTACCAATCCCGTAAAAGCAATTATGATGATGTAATTACCTTTATGCAATCAAGCATCTTAATTAGATAATAATTGGAAAACATGGGCAACAGAAGATATATATATATAGATTAGATACCCTTGAAATTCCCCATCACTTGGAGAAGATTAGTTCCGTATTTCAGCTGTGCAGTAACATTTGTTGGGAGTTGAGGCCCTGGAACCTGGAAAATAAAAAGATCAAACAATAAATAAATAAACATGCACAAAACCAGTTCAGAGAAACAGAATCCATTTAGAAGTCAAACTGCACAAACCATTGCGATATTGACTCTCTTATCAACCCCCTTTCCATTTAACAGGAAGCTGCAATTTTGATACGAAGGCCAGGAAGGTTAAATTGGATCATCTTTCGTGTAAGTAAGGAAGATAGCAGAAAAGTATAATACCTGACTTCTGGAGGATTTGAAATACAGCTTGATGTGTCTATGTTGTCTGTTTGGGCAACAAATAGCCGCTGAGGAGCAAACAAGAATCTGGAGTAAGTGATATGCTAACCAAAAGGCACAGAGAGTGGGCACATCAACAAGATGAAACAGTTTCAAAATCTATGTGGAGGACTGGTAGAGTGGTAGATAGATTCACATGGTCACATAATTGCACAGATAACGATAGAACTCCATATAGAGGAACCCAGAATGAGAGAATGACTAACAGATATGCAATACATACAATTTTCTCTTGGAGGGAATGCGGCATATTCTTTGAGATATGGAAATCATGCGCCAGCATTGTATAGCCAGCCTGTCATGCAAGGAAAACCAAGAAAAAAGAGCACACTAAGAGGGTAACATATCAGAATTAGATGTTTAGAACAGAAGACAAGCTCACCTTCACTTCAAAAGAAACAAGAACATGCCCAAGCTTCACAAATGGATAGAACCTAGGATCGGAAAGAAATAAATTACAAGCAGCACTTAGGTTTGTATCCAATAAATACCATTCTATTCAACAAGTTTTTAGTATCAGCTCTAGCTTGTGATTAAGTTTTGAAAATATTCTTGGCCCTGGTTAATTGTTAAAGTCAAATCTATCTGCCAATCAACAAAACCACACTGTGAAAGCAAAACCTACCTCTCCATGATTTGCGAGAATGTACTGCTGGGACTGGTGATGCCAGGGATAGTGCTTCCAGAACTCCCAAAACAAGTCCTCATCTGAACAAGAAGGAAAACATTAGTATCTTCATAATCCAAGTACCCTGCTATCAGATTCACACCATGATTCGAAAGAATACAAACCTCATCAGCAAGAGCGAGAAGTTCTTGACTCTCGCTATCTGAAAACCATCCCAGTTGACAAGCATGCTGCGACATTAACAAAAATCAAGCCTGATACGTCAAAACCAAATAAGGTACCAAAGATGGTGACAAAGGCCAAATCTTTATACCATTCTAAACCACAGGAAATCAAAACAAAAAGTGGCATTCAATGTAAATTAGTAAACAGAGGCAGAAACACGCAATCCAAACACTACAAAATACCAATAAAAACACTATTTTGTATCTGCTGGTACCTTGACAGAGATCATAAGCACCATAACCGCCGTCTTAGTGTACACATCAGTTAGATGACGGCACACCTACATCATCACAAAACACACAAGAAGCACAATCATCAGTACACTAGCCTAATAATGGCCTCCACTAATCCAGAGTAATGGAGAAATAACCTGTTTGAGCAACCGGGGAAACTCTTCAACCTTCTTTGGAACATCATTATTCGCTATAGCAAAATCAATACCTCTGAAAACAGAGAAATAAGCAAATTCATCAACACACCCGAAATTTATTATAAACAAATAAAAAAAAAACTGATTTTTTTTCTTTCTAAACACAAAATATCAAAACCCAGAGCTTAAAATTGTAGGTGCATGTTAATGGCGATTAATGTAGAGAGAGAGAATTACTTGGCGAAAGAGATGCAACAGATCTGAAACTCCTTAGAATCACTCTTAGGTCCGACTTGAATGTGGTAACGTAGACGTTGAGTCACCGACGTCAATCGGAAGGAATTGACCAGTGAAGCTGCCGTCTTCTCTCTCAAGCCACTTCCAGACACCGGACGCGTCGCCGCCCCCGCCACCGTAGACATCGACGAGCGTTGTTGAATCACAAATTTTTTTTTTTTGAAGGAATTTGAAGAAAAAAATAAAGAAACACGATTTGAACAAAGAAGAAGCAGAAGAATTAAAAACTCTCAGCTCAATCGAAAATTAAATAACCCTAAAAAAA